TATTTTTAAAAGGCGTTTAACATCATTATTCTGAGAAGGAGTCTATAAGTATCACCAGGCACCAAAGGGAACCAAAGCATATGAAAAGTTAAGTGCCCTGTGTTAGAAGTAACCCCACTCCTCGGTATATACCCAAAGGGAAAGAATTCATTCTATCAAAACAGACACATGCACCCATATGTTCATTGCAGCACTATTCACAATAGCAAGGATAATGGAATCAACCTAAGTGCCCATCAGCAGTGGACTGGATAAAGAAAATGTGGTACATATACACCATGGGACACTATGCAGCCATAAAACAGAACGAAATCGTGCTCTTTGCAGCAATATGGATGGAGCTGGAAGCCATTATCCTAAGGGACCTAAAGAAAGAACAGAAAACCAGATACTGCATGTTCTCGCTTATAAGTGGGAGCTAAACACTGAATACACATGAACATAAAGATAGGAACAATAGACACTGGGATCACTAGTGAGGGGAGGGAGGGGCCATGGACTGAAAAGCCATGTGTTGGGTGCTATGTTTACAGCCTGGGTAATGAGATTGCTGAGACCCCAAGCCTCAGTGTCATGCAGTTTACCCATGTGATAAACCTGCACATATACCCTTTAACTTATAATAAAAGTTGGAATAAAAAAAGAAACATGAGAAGCCTCTAAAATTACATTTGATCCCATTCCATACTTTTTAATAGACTGAAGATGCCTGCTCTCTGATAAAAATAAAGAATAGTATATTTGTCTTAAAGAAAGAACTCTATAGTAGAAGAAAGCACAACCACCCAGCAGAAAAAAAAATTCTTTTTTCAGACACTAAATAATAAAATGTAAAACAAACATACAAAAATATTTGCAAAAAGTATTCACTGACATACTGGAAAAACAGTTGACAGACATGCATAGCCAACGCAAGAAGCATCTTTAATGAACACTCAATGAAAACCAAAGGCAAAACATTAGGAAAAAACATGAATTTAGGGTGGAGTGAACATGATGGCAGGAACAAGCTAGAGTGATGTAGGCGTGTGGTTTCTGATGATTTTATGTTTTGATAGAACTTGGAAAATGTAGAAGAATAAGTAGATAACACGTATAATCAGAAAAGCCACAGTCACGTCTTGCGGAACATAAATAGGGAAAGGAGTGATGGAATGAAAGTACATGCAAAGGAGGATGAAAGAGATAATCCAGCATCTGACGAGAGGACCTAGACTGGGTATATAGAAAGGGAGAAAGAAAAAGGTGGTGATTTCAGTGAAACGACTCAGTTCGTCTGCTCCTGGAGAAATTGGGGAGAATTCAGTGATACGGGAACAGATTTGCAGGTAGAGAATAGGCTGGGAACCTCACATTGCAGAAGGCAGTTAGAGAACCTTGAGAAGCTGAGAATTTCTGGAATAGAAAAATTGCGAGACTTACTGATGAAATCATCCAGGAAATGGCACTGAAAATGGTCATTAGAAAGCACCATTTTCTAAAGCTAGCCTTGTTCTGTTGGACTGGGTCAGAGAGAGTGCTCTGTCTGCTTCTAAGAGGTGGTGCTCACTAAATGCAGAGGTTGGTCTAGAAAAGGAAGGAACAACCAGCCCTACTGAAGATGCACAGAATGGCCTGAAGACAGCGTATGTGATATGGGCTATTGAAATTAGCACTCCTATCACCTGAGCAGAGGACAAATCTTCCTCTGTTTTTATCTGCCAGTACTGGAAGGAGACATTCTATCGGTGGTGGTGGACCAGATAAATTAGCAGGAAATGAAGGCCAGATTTGCCCAAGAGTTTTGTTCTCATATGAAGTCTTCACAAGGTTAACTTAGACTTCACAAAGTTAGGTTTATGCATAATGCTTATAGGTGCTAACATTTATTAAGCCACTTACTATGAATTCAGGTTTTGTTCTGCAAATTTAATATTTACTATTTACTTTAATCCTCAAAATAACTGTATGAGGTAGGTGTTATTATTATTCCATTTAACAGATATGTTGTAGTGTATTTTGTTAGCTGTATGTCTTCCTGCATGCTACAGATGTAATTATAATGCCATATTCCTCAAAATATCAGTCTGGAGTCTTAGAAATATTTAAGGCACCAGATGAGTGGCTCCATAATTTGGAAGAGAGGAGAGGATGAGTGTCATCAGAGTGAGTGTGGTTGGGTGTGGCTAATTTGAGAATTTTTGTACCACCTTTCCTAGGTCTTGAGAGGAAAGAAAAAATGGATCTAGAGCAGACACAACTTTTCCATCATGTCCTTCTCTAAGACAGATGCATTCTCTTTCTTCTACTAGCATCCATATTGCCTTGGGATAACTACTCTAACTTTTCTATGTGGTTTGGGTGCAACTGTCTAGATTCCCTAGATCCAGGGCTGGACTCTTGACACAAGCCTGTCCATCAATGTATTTCATTTTTCTGGTCAGAGATATTTGTTCAGCGTTAGGCATGGATCAAGATGATCCAAAGGAGATTTTGCTGGGATGATGGGACAATTGTGGGTTTTTTAATCCAATGAATACATTTACATTTACAAAAACCAATTGACCACCAAGTATGTGATAAGATAGGTATACACTTTTAATTAAAGGAGCTCTGTGGTAAGAGCGATAGAGCGGCAGTCACCAATCTTTTTGGCACCAGGGACTGGTTTTGTGGAAGACAATTTTTCCACAGACCCAGGGGGAGAATGGTTTCAGGATGATTCAAGGGCATTACAGTTTGTGCACTTTATTTCTATTATTACATTATAATATATAATGAAATAATTATATAACTCATCATAATGTAGAATCAGTGAAGCCCTGAGGCCATTTTCCTGCAACTAGATGGTCCCATCTAAGGGTGATGGGAGACAGTGACAGATCATCATGCATTAGATTCTCATAAGAAGCACGCAACCTAGACCCCTCACATGTACAGTTCATAATAGGGTTCACGCACCTGTGAGAATCTATTGCTTCTGCCAATCTGACAGGAGGCAGAGCTCACTTGCCTGGCTCACCTTTGGCTGTGTGGCCCAGTTCCTAACAGGCCACAGACCAGTACCAGTCCATGGCCCAGGGATGGGTGACCCCCGCTTTATTGGGTCTGACAACCTAGACTGGGGTTATTAATGAGCAGCAGGCGGGGTAATTGGAGGAGGCAGGGTAGATAAAACTACTTTTGGAAAGTTAAAGAATAATTCTTTCTTTATTCTATCTCCTTTACTCAAACTGTTCCTGAAGGCTGCATATGATGTGTTCATGCAGTTTGACAGTGCAAATGGTGAGTGGTCAGGGGACGGGAGAGAGAGAGGGCTGGGAGAGAGAGAGGGTTAGAGAGAGGTTTCAGGGAATGGAGAAGAGCCCACCTGCCTCCTTTTCCTATCCCCCACCCCCATCATAAGGCAGAGTCACTCAGGCAACTTGTGGGAGACCAACTTGGCTAGGAGCTGCCTTGTTGCAGAGAAATAGCTTAGGATTTTTTCTCACCTCATGAACTCTTCATTCTTTAATATCTGTCAGCAGTTAGTAGAGGACAGAGAGCGCTTAGCATGGCAGGATCCTGAGTTGGTCAGACTTTGGTTCACATCCCAGTATGGTCACTCATCAGCTGTGTGACCTTAGCTTGTTGCTTCGCTTGTCTAAGCTGCAGAGCCTTCTGTGTGAAATAGGGGTCCTATACTTACCTCGTAGGACTGCTGTGAGGGAGTAAATATAATCCCACAGCCTTCGTATACAAATCAAATACTGTAAGTCCTAACTTGGACTAACTTAACCACCTGTTCTTGGAAACTGACTTTAAGTGAAGCAATGTACAACAGGGCCTTGATAACATTGACGGAGAAAAAAAAAGGTTTCTTTATATGCCATTTCACTTAAAGTCACAGTTTCTAAGAACTTAATGACATTGAGGATTTACTGTATGCTATCATAATTATTTCTTTATATATATAAAATGATCTCTTTTAATACACGGAGCTAGTTTAATACAGGGCTACTTTATATTCTAAGTACTTAATACCTAGTACTTAACAAAATCCTTAATGATGTTGGTTAAGTATAATCAGATAATATATTATCTGGGATATATATGGGGCTGGGATTTCAAGAAATAAATTGTCAGAGTCAGCAAGAAACTATGAAGACTTAGCAAAATTGCCTTTCCTCAGGTTCCTTCCTCCCATCACTGTAGGCTCTGAAATCCCAACACTGGGTAGCTTTATATGGTTTGAAGCGAGATTACTGCTCTTCTCCTGTCTAGACAATCATTCTGAAGCCCACTCTCATCATCTGTTTCAGTGGCAGGCTTGTCTCCTGGCCTCACCCAGCTCTGAGCTATCTTAATGCACGAGCATTAATCAGCTTTACTCTTGACTGTTTTAAACTGAACTGATCAGTTGTTTTTGCCTCTTACTGACCAGGCTAACAGATAATCTTGTGTCTTGTAGACCAAACAAATGTATGATTTAATAGGGTAAAAATCAGTCAACTGTTTAAAAACTATAAATAACTGATGCATTCATGTCTCCAATCTCTTTATTGCCTCAAATTTGATGTTGATGTAACTGTGTTTACTCTGCTTTACAAGTTAAAGCCAGTGTGGTCTATAAAAAATTAAGAGCCTTAGAAAGACCAGACTAGATCACAAAAGTTATTTTACTACAATGCAAGATGAAAGTAGTGCTTACCAAGTGTATTGTGAGAGGTGACGATTATTAAATATATGAACACACTTTTAGGTAAGAAGAAATCATAAAATAACCTAAAAAGTTAGTAATATCTCCTTGAATATATTATTCTGGATATTCATCTATCTATATTTGAAGATACTTTTATTACCTAAGATCCTATTAAATATAATTCAGAGTAAATGTATTCCTTATTTTTTGTTAAACTGGTCTCCTCTAAACCAAAGTTATACAAATTAGTCATGGGGTCAGGAGAAAAAGATGGAAAGGGGAAATATACTGTGACGAGAGACGCAGGAATCAATTTTCTGATATGCCACATAACTTGAAATAATTTGGCAACTGGACAACAGAGTTGTCTCTTTTATTAGCACATTCAAACAGCAGCAGAAAACAACCTTCCATTTGATTCTTACTGAGATTTATTATTTTTAATAATGCCACTTTTCAGAAGTATAGTCATGTGCTCACTTAGACAGGCTGACAAAGTGAAAACTTGTATGTGATGCAAAGTACCCTTTGGGCCATTGATTAAGACATAATATAGTGCAGTGACAAGTCAAGTCAAATGCCCGCAGCAGACAACAAACCCCAGCCTCCCCTTCCCATGGTCTGGCTCCCATTTTGCACCATAGAACCCACAATGGAAATCTGGCAAGACATAGAACACAGATGGCTACTGACTGACATGAAAAGTAAATTTTATTAAACATGTTTACATACATGAGTTGGAATTTCATTTAAAAGCACAGGGGAGTGTTAAGACAAGTGGTCAAAATAGAAAGATACTACCCAATTATAATCAGTTGATTGTTGGCCACTAAGACAGAACGGAATCTAGTAGAAGTGCACCAATGCTTCAGTTCCTCCTGCTCAGCATGGTGAGCAGTGGTCAATCTGTGCCCTGTGGAATGATGGGCAGATAATTCTGGCATGTGTAAATAATAATAAATAATTCACTTGGTGCAGGCAGTATGTCTATGAATTAAAACCTAATGTGTACACAGTGTCTACATGTGTTACAGCCCCACAGTAGGAATCTACACCAAAATATTTATTAGAAGGAATTTGGTCCGTACTACATCACGTTTTCCGGAGGGTAAAAAATAAAGTCCATCTATAGACATTTCACCACAGACCCAGAGACTGAGTCTGGCTAAAACCTGCAAAATGTCTATAACAAAAATGGATGGCTTAGATTTCTTGGTTATTTCGGTATAGTAATTAACAAGCAAACTGTACAAGTACATGCAACATACAAGCTGGCCTATGTGGAACTAACATACATTATTAAATAACCTTTTGTTTCTTTTCTTTTTAAAATTTTTTTTACAAAATGTGCATGCAGCTTTGAACAGTTCCAAGTCATGCTGCTCTATCTGTGTAATCACAAAAGTGGAGTGACTCATAAAAGGAGGGAGAACATATCAATGCACCCGCAGAGACTGCAGTTTGTAGCACATGTACAGAATGTCACAAGGGAAATTCAAGGCCAAGAAAAACTAAATGAAGAAAATGCAAATTGAAAGTTGACTTTGTTTATTTTTCCCCCCAAAAGTAAGATACTTTGCATTAAAAAATCAAGCTTTGTGCTTGCATCAATCTCAAAGAAATGTAAACTAAAATTCGATAAAAACATTAGTTTAGTGCAGAATATTTCAACTGGAATTTCCAGTGGAATATTGAACAGCTCATACCATGCTCTTTCCAGGGCAGATGGGTGTGTCTACACTGAGGCATGGCTGAGAAGCCTGGGCGTAGCTCAAAGTGTCTTAGGCTCAAATCCATTCCTAGTCACCATTTTTGGGAAGTCAAAGTATGGTTTATACACATGAGCATTTTTTTTTATATCAGGAAGAAAAAGGCAATACAAGGAGTGTTTTCAAAGTACAATTATGCAGTTAGTTTTAGTCCCCAGCATTAGTTGCAGATTGACTTCTTTAAAAGTCTTCCATGCAAAACAATGGAAACCATAAATTAATTTTCTAGAATGCAAACAGATAGGCTCTTCATTAAAAAAGTACTTCTGTGATTATTTATTTTGGAAGATAACTTTTTGTCTTTTGGGTTTCCACACGTAAGACTTTAAAGAATTATAAAATGAAAGCTAGTGAACCCTTCCTTGGCTTCACCTTATGTAGCTGTTTAACACTTTGGGGAGATGCCACAGAGACCACTTCAGCCCTTTTTTTGGTGCTTTTGGAAAAAAGAAGGGAAGAGTCTCTGTTAGCATCATGAGGCCTGTCATGACACAGCCAAAAAAACTAGTGGAAATAACAGATGTGGTGAAAACAAAAAAACAAAAAAAAACCTCAAGAAACGAAAACCAACAAACAACACACAAATAAACAAAACACACAAAAGAACAAAACAATTCAAACATCAGGGAAATAACACTGCTTGTGGTCTGTGCAGAAACGTGTAGAATACAACTTTTCACAGAGTGAGAGTTTCCAGTTTGTTCAATTTGGGGTGTGTGTGTGTGTGTGTGTGTGTGTGTGTAGGTGTATGTGTAGATTTAAAGTTTCCTCTTTTTCTATTTGTTAGAAGCATCAGTGACTCTCACCAGCACGTTGATTCTTCCTGTAATTTGATAGATTGCCTTGTTCTGTCATATGAAGCCATGTTTTAAATAACAATTGGGACATATTATTGAAAAACTACTACAGGCAAAACACAAGTTGATTGTCTGTCTCCAACAATGCTTTTGATCATGAAATATCTGGTTCAGATTATTATCCTGAAAGGTAGAGTTTTATTGGAATGACTCTGGTATGAGTTCACTATGATCGAATACAGGGAGGCCCAGTTGAACTTTCCAGAGATGACTGGGAAGCCCGGCGGGTGAGGGGAGTGAGTGTGGGATCCACCAGTGAGGACGGTGGGAACAATTTGTACCATCCGATCACCATGCTGGACAGGTCGAGTTCTTCCAACAAGATCTGAGCCACACCCATAAAGCATTTGTGGTCCATTCTGCCATAGTCTCCCCAGACAATCACCTGCAGAGAGAGAGAAATGCAACATTACCTGGACTTCTCTCTCCTTCATATCCGGATGGGCTCAAAGCAACTATGCTGTAAAAGTGGGCCAGTCAGTGAAGCAGAGGAAATGAATACAACTATCACCAAGGAGAAGGCACAGATAAGAAGATACACTAACTTTAAGATGCTTATAGACACTTCACAATAATTTTTAGGCTGATGGAATGAAGGATTGTGTGTTCCTAGTCAATGAGGAGTATTATCTACATAAGCCATGTTAAAGAAATAAATACATAAGATTATTTTTATATGAATGCAACGCCTTTCTTGTGTAACTACTATCTAATTAGCGATGTGCAGGACCATAAAAATATAAAAATTAAAATTTGTGCAATTTAGGAGGGCAGCATGAGCAATCCAACTCAGTATACCATGGAATGTATGTACAAGAAAGTATGTACAAAGAATGAGAGTACTCATTTGATTTCTTTTGTATTACGGTCTTTTTAATGAAGGGGTAGATCAAACAAATAATTGTGGGCTGGTACCTTTTGAGGACTTGCCTGCCAATTTTAATTTAGATGATTAATATTTCAATTCGATCATTAAAAATTACCACAATCTAGGTCAACTTCTATTGGCTATTGGTGTCAAACAAGCCTTCCACTACACATAGTCCCGGGTTCTATTTTCTAATACTTCAGTCATCTGTAAAGGTTCCCAACTGGACTCATTCACCTGTTTTATACAAGCAGAGTTGGTGGTGAATCCCACCTTTAAACTTTACTGAGTAACTTTGTGAAATTACTTTACCTCTTGAATCTCAGACATAATCTTTAAAATGAGGATAATGATAGTATTGCGCATGTTAGTTACAAAGTTTAAATAATGCATATAAGCACCTAGAAATGCATCTGGCATTCAACCAGGACCCATTCTCTTCTCCTCTCCCTCCTCCTCTTTGTATCCCATGTTTGGCAGAGAGCAATGCTCAACCAGCTATTATTAGCATTGTTTTGTTTGATATATCTCTATCTATTTATCATCTAGCTATCTAGTGAGGATATATCTCTATCTATTTATACCTATCTATCTAGTGAGGATACATCTCTATCTATTTATACCTATCTATCTAGTGAGGAGTGAGGAGGGGTGGGAACAGGGCAAAGCTAGAAGGAGAGGATAGAGACAGAAAAGAAAAGAAGAGAGAGAGATAAAATAAAATTGTTCTCTATTAGATCCACCAAATATTTTTAATATTATACATTATTTACATTATAAACTAACCATTTGAATTTCTTCTACTCAAGAATATTATCCTACATTTATCTCTTTGTGTTTTACCATCTCTTTGATATATGAATAATACAAACATTTCAATGTAAAAAGCCAAACAATTACTGACCTGAAGAACTTTACCCTGTGGACTTTCATCAAAAACCAGAGACTGCTGATACAAAGGATCAAGGGTTTTTCGTGCAATTCTTGTCTTCTTCTTGGCTATACAGGCCCCATTTTCCAAAAGATATACTTTGACATATGGAGCTAAACAAAGTTATATTAACATACAAGAATTATTCCTTAAATTCAACTGTTTTTTTAATTAGAGAATTCCCTATTAGAGAATTAGAGATGCTTGCTGAAAGTTTCCCATCGACTGTTTAAATTACTTAAAATTTTCATTGCTCCATACATTCTATTCCTTAAATCTATATGTTACCATTACTGCCATTTTCCTCATTTTGATTCAATGTATACAAAGTTATTTGAAGATGTTGACTTACTTGGGTTACAATGCAGGTTTATATCTTAAAGCTCATTGTTCCCCTTTTACAATTAGAATATATTCTTTTTTTCTTTTGCCTTTCTAAATGTGCAGAAAGAAAATAATTGACACTAGCTAAGAAACAACCATAACTAAACTTTAAAAAATATTATAACATACTTCCTAACACCTTCTGAAAGAATAACTGTGCAAGGAAAACCCAAATCCATTTTAATAACATCAAAGAACACAGAAACACTGCTTTTTAAATTAATCAGATGATGCAAAACAGAGCATATGAAATTCAAATATGGCAAATGTTTTTATTTGTTTGCCTATTAAATAGCCCCTTCACCAAATTCAGGAATACTTCTCCTTACCAGGTGTAGATTTGGAACCAGGCTTTTGTGTGAGGCTTCGTGCTCTAATAACTTCAACTTCTAATTGGCCCTTTTTGTCCTCCATTCCAATTTGTATATCACCTGCAAATGGAGGGGAAGCAAGATGTGTTTCAGCTTCTTTCCAGTTAAGTGCAGTTAAAACAAAAAGGAGAGCCCATAACAGACTACAGATTTTTATCTTCATGATTTTGTTGAGAAACTAATATTTAGACCCCCTCACTCCACAATCCACTTTTCTTTCTTGGTCTCCAAATCAAATTTGGAAATGATTCTCTTATTTTTTCTGGTATTAATCCCCCTTATGAGATTTGCAAATTAGTTAATAAATGACTATAACAACACTGAAGTATTTCTATAATTCTTGTACTTAATGTGATTTCTTACTTCTTGTACTTAATGTGATTTCATCCAGTATATACTAAAAAATTGTAACCATATGTATTTTCATTATCCTGAGAAAGCCACCATTAATATTTGGTGAATATCCTAGCATTCTCATACTTCTATCAATCTATCTGCCTATCTATCTATCTGTCTATCTATCTATCTATCAATCAGCAATCATGATCATGTATCATCATTTTATTGACTGTATGGACTACTGCATGGACATGTCATTACTTATTAAATCAGACTCCTATTGATGGAAATAAAGGTTATTTACATAAACTATTTTATGGTGCAGTGTATGTAAGTAGGGTTATAATGAACAGTTTTATAAGAATTCTTGCACACATTCTTGAATCATTTATTTTTTGAACATAAAATTCCAATATTTTAAGTTTTCATATCTAATAGTATGGACATCCAAAAATTCCATGCATTCTGCCAACTCCTCCAGAAAGGTTTGCACTATCACAGAAATATCGCTCTTCCTGCCTCCCACCCTCACTAATACTGGTATTAGCAATATGTCTAATACCAGTATCAAAAATATGCTTAATTTTTGCCAATCTGGTTAAAACGATATTTAATTTGCATTTCTTTGATTATTAAGGAGCATTATGTAGCCCATGTATAGTTTGATACAAAATTAGATCAGCAACTAGAATGAATCCCTTCCTTTTTATTTCATGAAAATATTTGTTTCATAGTTTTCATGTCTCTCGAGCTCATATTTATTAGAGCTCCTCTATGAAAACACCTGGGTGTATTCTCCCCATTTTTTGGTAAGTAGAATGTTAAATACTGACAGTTATAGTTCTACTCAGGTTTTTTCAGCTTTCTACTTACTCTTAAATTCTTTGTGGTAGGTTATATTTTTTAACAACTGTTCATCTCAAATAAATTTTCAAATGTTTTTTTTTTTGTTTTTTTTGTTTTGTTTTGTTTTGAGACAGAGGCTTCCTCTGTCGTCCAGGTTGGAGTGCAGTGGTGTGATCTCCGCTCACTGTAACCTCCATCTCCTGGGTTCAAGTGATTCTCCTGCCTCAGTCTCCCAAGTAGCTGGGACTACAGGCATGCGCCACCCTGCATGGCTATTTTTTGTATTTTTAGTGGAGACAGGGTTTTACCATGTTGGTCAGGCTGGTCTCAAACTCTTGACCTCAGGTGATCTGCCTGCCTTGGCCTCCCAAAGTGCTGGGATTATAGGTGTGAGCCACAGCGTCCAGCCTAAGCATTTGCATAAGTGGTATCATTCAGCAATTTTCTTTCTTCACTTAACTACATTTTCTTAGATATCCATCCAAGTTGATGTGTTGAGATCTAGAACATTCCCTTTAATTTCTCTATTACAGTCTATTACATGAATGTCATATTTATCTACTCTCCAGTTAGGGGTCTTGGCTTTCCTATTTGGTGCTGCTACAACAAAATGCTGCAAAGAGCTTCTTGAGGATATGTAATTCGAAGTTGTATTGCTGGGTCACAGCACATCCACACTTTTATTTTTACTAGATGCTGCCATATTATTCCAATTGGTGACTGCACCAAATTACACTTCTAATAGCAGTGTAAGAGAATGCATATTTCTAAGCATCTTTGCTACTTATATTGAAAGATGTAAACATTTTGGACAATCTGATATGCGAACACACACACACACACACACACACACACACACGTGTGCTTTGTAGAAACGTTAACAGATAAGTAAACTCCACTCTATTTTCAGTTTGATAATTTTTTCTCATAAATTAAAACTGAATTTTTATCAAACATTTTTTCTGCATACTTAAGATGGTCATGTTTTCTTTTTATTACAGTAATGTGATCAACTATATTAATTAGTTTTCATATATTAAACCAACCATGTGTTCATGAAAAAAAATCCCATTTGGTTGTGATAATATTATTTTTAGTATTGCTGAATTTGCTTTTCTTGGGGTTCATGAGGGACTCTGGAAAGTATGACTATATTTATTTTCAGTTCTGAAAAATCTATCAATCATTATATACATGTACTTTTTATTGTTACACTCTTTGTTTTCCATTTTCATTTTTATTCATTGATACATAATATGTACATAATATATGTACATATTTTTTAGGTACATGTGATAATTTAATACATTCATATACTTTATTATGATCAAGTCAGTGTAATTGGGATGTCATTACCTTAAATATTTGTTTTTTCTTTTATGCTAGAAACATTTGAATAATTCTCACTCAAACATTATATTTTCAATGGCGTCTGGCCTATACTCCTTCCTTCCCTATTCTGGGACTAATTAGACATATATTAGACCTCACTTTTCTGCTCGGTCTTATAACTTCTTATTCATATTTTCCATTATTTTGTGTGTCCAATTAATTCTGGATACTTTCTTAAGGCTTTATCCTCCAGTTAGCCACTAACCAATTATCTCCTCAACTCTGTCTAAACTGCTGGTAACTCATCCATTGAATTCTTAACTTTAGTTATATTTTTCAATTCTATAATTTCTACTGGGCTCTTAAAGATTTGAGTTTTCTGATGAAATTCTCCATCTTGTTTTTTATTTTAGGTAATCTTCTTTCTCTTCCTCATGACTTGAGATGATGTCCTGAAATTGCATTAAAAAGATTTTCCTTGTTTGTTTGCTTTGTACAGATTGTTCAGTTCACCACTCAATGTGCTCTTTCAATCTCTCAGGTTTTATGTTTTTCTTAAACACTCAGGCATCATTATTTTTCCCCAAAAACTGTCTCTCTATTCTCTTTTTAGGCTCCTGTGACTTTTTGGTTTATTCCTCCTACATCCCGAATTCTCCTCTCTTATAAAAGATTTTCTTTTTTAAAAAATTTAAATAGGCCATGTTATTGGTGGTATTCTATAGTTCTCCTTTTATTTTTCCTCTTAGGAAGCTTGTATGCTTTTCTATCAAGCCTCAGTGTTGCGAAATTTCACTATATTGTGTCTTCAAGCTGATCTATTTTCATGCATTTTGCTGAAGTTCTTTCCCACTGCAAGATTACAGAAAGATTAACCTAAGTGTTTTCCAGTACTTTTTAGTATCTTTCTCTACCTTCCCTTTTCTTTTTTATAGTTAAGTCTAAAATATTAACTTTTTTGGAAAGTTGTGTAGGGTGAGGGAATTCCGTACATTTTTTCACACAGGTAAATAGTTATGCTACTATACTTTACTGAACAGTCTATCTTTTTTCTTTTTTTTCTTCCATGCTCTGAAATGCCACCCTTGTCCTACATTTAGATCTATTATATCAGAGTTCCTGGTAATTCAAATATTTATGGCTAATTTTACTTCCTGTTTCATAATATCTCAAATTAGAAAAATACACTTGAAATTAGAATAGTTGTTTGCAAACAGTAACTCCCTAGCTAAAATGTTGCTTCTCACTTGTATTGCTATTACACAATTTTAAATATTTTAAATGACTTTGTCAAACACAAAACATCAATTTTCCTGTAGAAAAAAAATGATTCTTACCCATTGCAGGGGTGGCAAGAGTTTGGCGGCCAACAAGCTGGGCTGGTCCCAATCCATCAAGAAAATCACTGAATTGACTGTCAGCTCCCAGTCGCACTCCAGGAAATATTAAACTATCAGCAGAAGGATAAAAACCAAAGGAAAAAAAAAAACCATGAAATCTTCTAGAATTCTTTTCACTAGTTTCCATTTGACTAATTATGATCATGAAGCATAAATATTACTTAGACAATCTGTTTTTTTTAATTGATTATTTGCATTGCCTTTGAGCCAAGCATATGAGGCTTAATATTGATTGAGGATAGGTGTAAACTCTCAGTTTGATACCTAATGCTCTATTCAAGAGGGCTCAGTCATAGTTTTTAATATATCAAGTTCCAAATCCCTATATAAATGTGTTGCTGACAAAAAAACATATGATGCAAATTTTTATATCATAAACTTCACACAGATACTTGCTCATGAACATTAGGTAACATTAATGCTAATTTTTTTTAAAGTGACCAATAATTTCTTGAATAAATGTTATAGTTCAAGTTCTTATTTATAAACATTTAATTGATTCATTTTTGAATCAATTCTGGTTAAATTCATCTTTGAATCAATTAAATGTTTAAATTATTTGAGACTTTTATTTGGTTCCAATTGAAATTAATTGATTAAAAAATCTGTATTTCCTCCTATAATATGACTTCCTGATAGCCCCAGGATGTAAGCTGCACAAGGATAGTGCCTGTGCTTTTCTTGTTGACTGATGTAGTTATCACTGGGTAATAAGAACTATGCTCATTATGTAATAGGCATTCAGTAAGCATTTTTTGAATGAATATATTTCTATAGAGACTTACTCTTTGCATTGTGCTTTCACATCTATTATTTCTCTTAACTAAGGGAATTAAATGGGACACAGATTATAATCCCATCCAGAGACCATAAAAATAAATCTAAGAGATTAAGTGGTTTATGATGGAGGCAAATTTTATTTGTTACTTTTTTGTATCAGAAAATGATGTGTTCAAGTCTCATTTGTATATTACTTTATGCTACTTCATTCAATACTGGTATTTTGTCAGTAAGTTTATCTCCATAACTTTCATACCTGATGATTTTTGTTCTTAGATATTCCTTACTGGAAACATGCATAACAAGCCAATCATTTGACCAACTAAACAAAGACCAACTAGTTTCAGGAATGGGAAAGAATATAACAAACAGTAATCTGGCATAATTCTGTTAAATTTTCTAAACAAAACAAAAAATCCAGTAAAGACAAGAAATATTAGATTGGTATATGAGTAATGTGAATGGTAATGAACAAATAATTATAGAAAATTTATATGTGGTGAATCTCCATGTAATCCAAAACAACACATTAACTACTTATTTGTAAGATCCACTACCTCAATAAAAATTCAGTTTTACCAGAAAAATTCTCAAGCATAGGAAATAGCACGTTTTGTGCAGGATCCATAAAAAATGTCAGAAAAAAAAAACGAACTGAGTAAATTTTTAAAAATCGTATTCTATTTTCTCAGAATTAACTAAAACATTTTAGTCAGAAAAATAATGAAGCTGATAGATCCTGGATTATTTCCTAAGGTAAAAATGAGTCAGCAATGTTTTAAAAACAAGAAAATGTAAGTTACTTACACATATGACAGTGTTAGACTTAGAAAAGCTTAGGGTCCAAATTAGCTTGGAGAAAATTAAGAAAATGGGAAATCAGTTCCTTACTTTTAAATTTTAATTTAGACTTTGGTGACAGGGACAAACTATGAATTTCCCATATGAAAGAGTCCATTACCTGTGGCATTTCTACACTAAACATCCAGTAAGGAACTATTCTGGGCTTTCCTAGATGGAGGAAATGAATTTATTCATGTGGACTCAGAATTTCTTCACCCTTTGAAAGGTATGAATGACCAGGTGTAGAGGTGTGTCCGTGTGTACTTACTTATAAGCCATTAGGGTGGTTTAAAATGGATGGTTGAACTTCTGGTTAAATAGAGAAGCTGCACAGTAACACTCAGTGGCTTTGTTATTTTACTGATTAGTACACAATTCGTGGTTCCACAGCCATGCAGACGTGCTGACAGCACTTACTTGCCCTCAGAGCTGTAACTGTTGATGCTGCCATCAGTAGACTCTCGGCTCGGCTGCCTTACCATCTTCCTCATTTCAGCTGCCATGCCTGTTTCTGTACTTCTCTGGATGGTACTTTTTAACTTTTTGTGGCCCGACTCTGACAGGAGAGAGTAAAAGAAACTCTAAGTTTTATTCAGACAGCTTCCCCCGAATATCAATTGATCCTGCAAATATAATAGTTAATTTTACACATAATTACAAATTTAATCAGAAAAATAGTAACCTAAGGGAGTACTTTGCTTGATTCAGGCTCCTTGCCAAAGTGTGCTTGGCTAAGAGTAGCAGCACTGGATGCTACACCATGGCCACAGTTTCAGTGACTGCCTGAATCTCAATCAGCCAAAATGAAATCATTGTATTATTGATGGTGACAACTTCAATGAAAATCTGATTTTGGCACCCAATTGTTATGTGGAAAGATAATGGTGAACAATCTAATAGGTTTCTCCTAATATGGAATTCACTAAATGTGTATGAATAGTCTCAAAGGACAAGTCGTATTCTTTTAAGGAGAAGGTGCATTTGGAACCCAGTATGAACAATACCACAGTTTTTGTACTATCACGTATCAGCAATCCTCATAAAGAGAAACTAGTATTTTAATTGATGATTTTTGTAAACACTTTAACATACACTATATAATATTTATACACATTTGAGATGGCATATAGATTACAGAGTTAGGTATAACAGGTTTTATCCTAATTCAAAGACTACTGAGCTATCTCATGGCCTTTTGACTCAGCTGCATGAGTTCTGATTGGCAGTTTTGGGGTGTACACCTCCATTTGCACTGGGTATTACATGCATTTGCATTTCAGTTCTTGATAAGTTCAGAAGAATTTTCTTGAGCCACTTTGAAATGCACTAACCAGCATTCTATTCATAGCATGGAAATAAATTCTAAACTATTTACTTGCTTACATGCATAAGCAGTATCAATAGGTTAGGAAAACTGCTAGACTTTATTCCATCTATACATTCTATAAACATTTCTGGGTTTTGCTTTAGTTTTTGTATAGTATCATTTAATACCCATTAATAATATATGAAAAATGCTCTATATATGTAATTACATACATAACTACTATATAAACACATTAACTTTTCAATCTTCATAAAACCTTTACAAAGAAGGTACCTAAATACACTCTTACATAAGCCATTTGAAACACTGCATCTTTTCCCTCTCATTTTTGGTCATTGGATTCCTTTTGTAAATTGTCTAATCAAAGATATAATAGGTTATGCTATATGAACTTAATGCTGATGCTTCCTACACATTGTTTTAGTATGTTCATTAAAATTTTTACTTTTTATTGTTCTTAACCTTTTTATTGCTATTTTTGCTTACAAAGACAATATATGTATATTACAAAATATTTAAATGTTACAGAAATTGCAAACATTGAATGCCCCCTATAATTTCACCACTCAAGGAAGACAATGGTTAATAATTTGGGAACTACTTTTTCTTTATACCTATACAAGCTTCTTCACTTGGCTACTGTGATCCACACTCTCCGTTTTCCCTTCTTTGACATTGGTTGTTACTTCCCAGTCTCTTCTGCTGCATTTTTCCTCTTTGAGATTTTTAGATATAGACGATCCCTAGACCTCAGGCCTCCGACCTTTTGCTTTCTTCTACACTGACTTCCTAGGTGATCTCTAACATAGCTTTAACATAGCTAACAAGGTCATTCATGCCATTGTGCCTCCCAAATATACATCAAGGTCTTAACCATTCTCTTAAATGCTGAAGTCATTAATTCAATTGCCTAGTAGCTCCATTTACATATCTAACAGGCACTTCAACATTAACATATCCAAGACAGAACTCTTCCCCACCTCCACCACACTACCACCTCCTACTACTAAATCCTCCTCCCGCAGTAAATGGTACTGCAATTCACTTGGCTGATCAGGCCTAAATCCTTGTAATCGTCTTTGATTCCTCTAACACACCCCACATCCAATCCATCAGCGAATCCTCTTGGCTTTGCCTTCAAAATGCATCACAAATCTGGTCATTCTTCTTCCTCTCCACAGCTCCTACCCTACGTCCAGACACTGTCATCACTCAAAAGAGCAGTGCCATACCCATATAGCTGGTCTCACTGCTTCTATTCTTTTCCTCCTCAGAATATTCTTGACATAACAGCCATGGTGAGTCTTTAAAAATGTAAATCTGAACATATCATTCCCCTGCTCAAGATCTTATAATGATTAATCACCAAAATAAAATGAAAATCCAAAATTGTTATCGTGGCCCAGGAAATGCCATATCATCTTGTCTTTGGACACTTCACATCTCATCTTCTGTCCCTCATTCCATATGACCAATGCTCTCCAGTCACACTGTCTTCCCTACATTTCCTCAAGCCTGCAAGCATGCTACTTCTGTTTGTCCCTTCTGACTTTCTTGCCTTGTTCCTTATTCAGATTTCTGCTTCAAGAGAAGCTGTCTCCTCAGAGAGGCTTTGTATAGTATCCCTTTGCTGTGCTTTATTTTTCTTCATAGCAGTGCTTCATCTGCCATTAAACCTTTATCTGTTTGTGTTCTGTTTTCCAATTAGAATTTAATTTCTGTGAGAGCGGGGTCATTGTGAGTATTGTTCACTGTTACTCTTCATATCTAGAACAGGGGTATAAACTGTTGATAGTGAAATCACACCACATATACTAATGTGCAATTTTCACATTCCATTTAATATAATGTAACACAAACAGGTATATATTTATTGTTTTTAAAGACTGCACTATTCCATTTTATGACTATGTGGTTCATCATTAAACCATCCCTTTATTGATGGGCTATTGGATATTTCCAGTAGTTATAGAACAGCTTCTACAGGATGAATTACTGGAAGTTGAAATGCTACTGAAAGGGTAGGAATCTGTTTAATTTAAATAGCTATTTCTATATTCCCCTTAAGAAACATTGTAGTGATTTATACTCCTACCAACAGTCATATGGATGTTCCCACTTACCTACCTATGGCTCAAGAATTCTCTACCTTTCCCCTTTTTGGACTCTGTCTTGTCCACTTGACTTGTCATTGTGGAACGTGCACACTTATCCAAGGCAGGGACTTCATCTATGGCCATTGTAAATGCTGTTTAGTTTAGTTTTGGCATTTATTCATTTATATACCGATTCCTTTCTAGAGGTAATTCATTTATGAAGTCACTGTGGTAGAGCAGTGGCCATTCATGGCCACATACTGGCCAGACCTCACTTGAAGGACAGGGGTAAGCCCCAGGGATATATTACCAAAGTATTGAGCCAAGATGAATTACAAGTGTTTACCCAAGGCAGCATGAGATAACAAAATCTGGGTAGAACACCAGTTATTGAAAATAACGAGGATCATGGCTAGAGAAATTACAGGAACTTTAAATGGTGAGGTGCTGCTGGAAATTGGAGGAGAAACAGTTAAGAGGATCAACAATATGGCAAGTTCAGTTTAGAGTGTTAGTTCATTCTGCTTTTTGTTCATTCACCTATTCAACAAATATTTATGGAGCATCTATTACGTGTCATACAGTGCTCGAGGTGCTGGGGATGTACGGATGGATGAGAAATGTCCTGCTTTAAAGGAGTGTAGATTCTAGTTCACATGTATATACAAGAAAGACAGTGAACAAAGATACGATATCGCTGATAAGTGCTATGGGAAAAAAATTAGGCAGGATGAGAGGGGTAGAGAGTGACGAGGTAGAGCAGGAATTGTTTTGTTTGAAAAGGAGCCAGGGTCTGATTAAGCAGTGCAGGGGGAAGTGAGGACACAAGCCATGAGGAAAGAGGGAAGCAGTACACAGCAGGGATTGGTCCTCGTGACAGGGGAGGCTGTGAGTAATGGTGGCTGTGGTAGAGGGGAAGGGGAGGGCTGCAGTCTTGCAAGTAGTGCACAGGTCTCCAGGCTTCCTCTCCAGTCTTTGTAATGTCGATGTTGACTCCAACCCGGAGGCTTTGTCACCAGTGATCTCGGGCTCTGTGTGTTGCTGGCAGTCCAGAGGACGGTGAAGTGCAGACTGTCAATAACTGATTTCTCTTGCATTATCTAACACAGGTTTCACATGATTGTTGTTCATTACATATTTGGTGACAAATGAAAAGAAAAACCTTAAAAGCGAATAATCTTTATTCATTTGTATATTTTAGTTGAGATATCAAGTTTTCTCAAAGAAGGATATATCTACAGGGTATCTCAAAATTCTTACAGCTGTTTGAAACTTTAATAGCTTCCACAGTGTAAAGGATACAAATGCTCAAAAAACATCATTTGAGGGGCTAGTTATTGAATTTTCTTTTATATTTACTTGATTTTGTGAATTTGAATAATATATTTTTAATATTAAAGTTCTTCTTTTAGTCCTGCTGAATTAAGATGGCAGATGAACTGACATCTAACTGTTGTCTTATTCATATTAATAAATATTCATGAAAAGAGCTTCAATTGACTAAGCAATATAAAGGTCTAGGCAGAAGCTCAATAAACAGTTCTAGTTTGGAATTTGCCTTATTTAAATTCATAAGGGCCCCAATATTAATTTGGAATGTGAGGATTAGAAGAAACATTGTTTTATAGATGTGGAAACTGTAAATCTGGAGAAACAGAATTCATGCAACAAATTAGTTCAGCACTTACTCTGGGTTCAGTCTTTTCCAGATGCTGGCAATATAGCAATGAGCACAACAGACAAAATCCCTGTCCCAGTGGAGCTTACATTCTAGTGGATATAATGACTTGCTTAACATCACACTAGTTAGCAGCAAAAGCTAAATTAGAAACCTGTCTTTCTAAATCTTAGTCTTGCAATCATTCCATTATACAACATTTTAGGAACACGTAAAGTCTGGTCTTACTTATTTTGCAAATAGAACAATGGTCTATCTACACAGGTATTTTCATGTATACATTCACATACGGCTTTGCAAGTTAATTTGTAAAAGTTTGTTAAAAAGCACATATATTCTATGCAAGCACAAACGTATAATTATCTGCATCTATGTACATATGCTGTAATTATAACAAAAATGTGTTACATCTATGTAACATGTTTAATGTCAATATAGTCCATTAAAATATATAC